TAAAAAATGCTCAAGATCACTAATCATTAAGAAATGCGAATTAAAACCACAATGACACATAACCTGCATCTTAGTTGGTTTGTGCTGCTATAACAAATTACTTGAGACTGGGTAGTTTATGAAGAACAGAAGTTTATTTCTCATAGTTTTTGAGGCTAGGAAGCCCAAGATCAAGGTATCAACAGGTTTGGTTGTTTGCTGACGGCTGCTGTCTGCTTCCAAGATGGTGCTTGTTCCTGTATCCTTTGGAGGGAAGGAACACTGTGTCTTCTCAGGGCAGAAAATGGAAGGGTAAGTGGGGTGAATACTGTGTGAATCCTCTTTTACAAGTGCTTTAATCTCTTTCACAAGGGAAAAGCCCTCATGGCCTGATTACCTCGTAGGGGGCCCACTTCTTTTTTTAAAAATTTCAATAGATTTAGGGGTACAAGTGGTTTTTAGTTACATGAATGGATTTTATAGTGGATTCTTAGTGTACCTGATACCCGAATAGTGTACATTGCACCATATAGGTACTTTTTCTTCCCTCACCCCCTCTCGCCTTCTCCCCTTCTGAATTTCCAATGTCCATTATACCACTCTGTATGAGAAGGCCCACCTCTTAATACTGTCACATTGGCCATTAAGTTTCAACACCAGAACTTTGGATGGGACACACTCGTTAGAATAGCTATTATAAAAAAGATAAAAGATAACAAGTGTTGCAGAGGATGTGGAGAAAAGGGGAACACTTGCACATTGTTCATGGCAATGTAACTTAGTATAGCCATTATGAAAAACAGTATTGAGGTCCCTCAAAAAATTAGAAATAGAACTACCATATGGTCCAGCAATCCTACCACTGAGTATATATCCAAAGGAAATAAACCAGTATGTTGAAGAGATATCTGCACTCTCATATTCATTGCAGCATTATTTAGAATAGCCAATATATGGAATCGACTTAAGTGGCTATGAGCAGATGAATGAGTAAAGAAAATGTAATATGTGCACAGTAGAATACTATTCAGCCTTAAAAAGAAGGAAATTCTGTTATTTGGGACAACATGGATAAATCTGGAGGCCATTATGTTAAGTGAAATAATACAGGTACGGAAAGACAAATACCACATGATCTAACTTATCTGTGGAATCTAGTAAAGTTGAACTCATACAAATAGAGAATAGAATGGTGGTTACCACGGACTGGGGGTGGGCAGCACTGGGGCAATGTTGGTCAAAGAACACAAAATTTTAGTTAGATAGGTGGAATCAGTTCAAGAGAACTTTGTACAACATGGTGATTATAGCTAGAAACAATGTATTGTTTTTAGCTTCTCATAAATTGCTAAGAGAGTAGATTTTAAGGGTTCTCACCACAAAAAAATTAAAGTATGTGAGATAAAGCACATGTTAATTAGCTCTATTTAGCCATTCCACAGTGTATACATATTTCAAAACATGTTGTACACAATAAATAGATATAATTTTTATTTGTCAATTAAAAATACAAAAACTAAAAACCACATACTATAGAGTTATATTTATATAACCTTAAGAAACAAGCAAACTTAATCTAATGGTATCTTTTTTTTTTTTTTTTGAGACAGAGTCTCGCTTTGTTGCCCAGGCTAGAGTGAGTGCCGTGGCGTCAGCCTAGCTCACAGCAACCTCAAACTCCTGGGCTCAAGCAATCCTCCTGCCTCAGCCTCCCAAGTAGCTGGGACTACAGGCATTCGCCACGATGCCCGGCTAATTTTTTGTATATATTAGTTGGCCAATTAATTTCTTTCTATTTATAGTAGAGACGGGGTCTCGCTCTTGCTCAGGCTGGTTTCAAACTCCTGACCTTGAGCAATCCGCCCGCCTCGGCCTCCCAGAGAGCTAGGATTACAGGCATGAGCCACCGCGCCCGGCCTCTAATGGTATCTTTAGGGGAGTTAATGACTGGGAGGGGGCATGAAGAAGGCTTTTGAGGTTTCATTATTGGATGAGTTCACTTGGTAAAAATTAACTGATCTGCCTTTTATAATTTGTACCCTTGTATAGATGCATGCTATACTATAATAAAAATTTACTTTCATTTTTTTAATAATTTCATTCTTATTTATCTAAAGTGTTTTTGAGTGGATCTCTTTGTATACACACTTTTTTTAGTGGTTGCTGTAGGCATTACATTATATACACATAACTTATCACCATTTATTGATATGAACATTTTAACATTTTGAGTGAAATGCAGACTTAACTCCATTTAGGTCTCTTTACTCTTTCATTTATAATTGTCTTAACATTTTTCTCTACATATATTGAGATCATATCAATATTATGGTTATTGTTTCAACTATCAAATACAATTTTAAAAAACTCAGGAGAATAGGAGATTGTCCTACATTTACTCTTAATTTTACACTTCACATTTTATTTCTGATGTTCTAAATTGGCTTCTTTTATCATTTATTTTTTGTTTGAAGAATTTCCAGTAGCCATTCTTTTAGGATGGTCTACTGACAACAAATTTTCTTTTTTTTTTTTTTTCATATGAAACTGTATTTGTTTTGCCTTCATTTCTGAATAAGGTAGAATTCTGGATACAGAATTCTAAGTTGACAGTTCTCTTCTAGCACTTGAAAAATGTGGTGCCACTCCTTTCTGGCCTTTATATTTTTAAAGGACAAGAAATGTGCTCTCATTCAAATCATAGTTCCCCTATACATGATGTATCATTTTTCTCTATTTGCTTTCAAGATTTTTTTTGCTCTGTCTCTAGTTTTAAGAAGTTTGATTATAATGTCTAATTTTAAGAAGTTTGATTATAATGTTTCTTGGTGTGGATTTCTTTGGGTTTATCCTAACTGAGATTCACTCATCTTCTTGAATCTGTAGGTTTATTACTTTCACCAAATTTGGGTAATTTTGAGCCATTATTTCTTTTAATAGTTTCCAGTATTCTCTTCTGGGACTCTGATGAAACAAATATTAGCTCTTTTGTTGTTCCACAGGTTCTTGAGGCTCTGTTCTTTTTTCTCTCAGTCTATTTTCTCTGTTGTGAGATTGGATAATTTCTGTTGATTTATTTTTGAGTTCATTGATTAAAGAATCAATTATGCTATTGAGCCTATCCAGTGAGTTTTTTTCAGTTCTAAAATTCAGTTCTACAATAGGTTATTCTGTTTTTTAGTTCTAAAATTTCCACTTGGTTCTTTTTTTATATCTTTTATTTGCTGAGACTTTCTATGTTTTCATTTGTTTCATATATATTTGTAATTTCTTATTGAAGCATCTTCAGAGTGCATTCTTTAAAATCTCTGACAGATAATCCCCAAATCGGTATCATTTCACTGTTGGTATCTATTGATTGGTTCTTTTATCATTAAAATTGAGATTTTCCTGGTTCTTGGCATGATGATGAGTGATTTTTTTATTGTGTGATGGACACTTTGGGTATTATATTATGTAATATCCTGGCCCTTATTTCAATCCTCTGTTATAGCAGGTCTCTTCTGTTATTGTACCAGTGAGGTAAGGGGGACTGTGCCATCCTCTAATCACTGGGTAAGTCCATGTGGACTCTTCCCATAATGTAAATCCAGGATTCCTATTCATAGTTTCCACGATGTTTGGCTAAAGGAATGAAAATATCAAAAAGATGTCTGTATTTATAGGCCTCCCCTTTTCTGGTCCTTTGGCAAAGAAAGGAGATGTGCTTGGGGCTATTTTTTATTTGCACCTGTCAGAATTTCTTGGCTGCAGATTTTTGAGTGTCCGATCTGGTATACATATATAGGAGGTAAAAATAACACCCTGTGTCAATCATTTAAGTTCAGAAGACTGTAGCTGCCTCTGCCTTCTTCTCGCTACCTTTCAAAGTCTTCTTATGTTTGTTTTATATATATGTTATGTCCAGAGATTTTAGTTTTACTTAACAGGAGCAATAGCAAGAAATGCTTCTACTCCATCTTATCCAAAACTGAAAGTCTGACTTTCATTTGTTAAAAAAAACATTAAAAATAATGTAGTAGTTGGACTACTGGATCTTTAAGGCTGCTATCTCTTCTGATCTCTGTAAGTTACTGATGCAAAATGATGAAGGTGGTGGTGATTCTAAATGGAAGAGTTGGAGAAGGAGAATTTATCTTTTTGTTTTTCTAGCAGTGACTGAGTAGGAAGAGTACCGTGGCTTTTTGATGTAGCAGGAGTTTTGCTTTGAGTAATCAATAAATTGGCATTTACCTAGAGCTGGTAAAATTAGGATATGAAACAGAGCCTGGCCCCCTGGCAGGGCTGATGTTCTCTATTTCTTTTGAGGGCTATATAATTAACAAAGCCCTTAGAGCAACTTCAGCATCTTCCTTGTTAATTCGAAAGTTTCTTGTGTTTTCCCATTACCTTTCTGGTACTGATCTCAACATCTCAATATATTTATGTTGTATCTTCCTAAGATGGATGTAGCTCCTTCAAGAGAACAGGAAACAACTCCCCAACTTCCTCCTGTCCCTACAGGTGCCTAGTAAGTGCCTTACACACCATAGAGAATTATAAATATTTGATATGGTCTTCCCTTCTCCTGTCAGTCTGGATAGCATAAGCTAGTGCTCCCAAGGCGCCGCCAAACTGGAGAAGCAACCACTTGCTGTCCTCAGAGGAGACCTTGCAGAGTAGGCTCTGGATTATGAGAGACAGAGTCTTTCCAGAGCAGCTTGTCCTAAAAAAGTCCACTGAAGAGATCCACGGTGGCTACCCAATCCATTGGGGGCTGTTTACTGAATTCTCTTTCCAGGATCTTTGTGTTTGGGATAACGTCATGATTTTGAGCCATAAACCAGAGTGTTCACATCTTTGATCATTGTTTGTCAGTCGTTCCTTCCTCTCCTGCTGACTTCCATCTATTCACTCATCCTCCCGCCAACAGAGTGGGTATATTTGTTGAATGAAAGTATGGGCGAGTGAATGTAGGAAAGGTAAAGAATCGAATGGAATGGATGCATTGGAAGTTATAAAGACTCCTGGAGACTCAGAGATTCTCATGAATTCAAAATTTATTGAGCTAAGATGTTGGGAGGTAGTTGTACAGAAACCAAGAAGGAAAAATTGCACAAGGAGATGCAGCTGGAGAACTCAATGGCTTCTTCTACGTAGGTTAAGATGTGAAGGATTTGGAAACTTCGGCAATATCACGAGAGCACTAAGCCCATTGGCGCCCACAGAGAACACCTCCAGCTCCTTTGACTGCAAGGCATCCTGGGGGCCTTACTTGCATGGCCAGGTAGGCGCCTGCTTCTGCTGGGTCTGGTGGCAGACAGGGACACCCTTGCCACTCCCGGAGCCACCCCCTGAGGAGCCACCGCCACAGCTGGAGCCGCCGCCGCCGCCCCCGGAGGAACCACCTCCGCAGCCAGAGCCGCCACCGCCACTAGGGAAGCAGCCGCCGCCGCCCCCTGAGGAGCCGCCGCCGCCACTGGAGAAGCAGCAGCCGCCCCCTGAGGAGCCGCCGCCGGACGAGCCCCCGCCGTAGCCCTGCTGGGGCGCGCACGAGGTCTGGGTGGCCTGCTGCGAGCTGTAGCCGCCGCCACCGCCGCCAGAGGAACCTCCGCCGCAGCTGGAGCCGCCGCCGGAGGAGCCGCCGCAGAAACCGGAGCCGCCGCCGCCGCCGCCTGAGGAGAAGCAGCCGCTGCCGCCCCCGGAGGAGCCGCCGCTGGAGCCTCCTCCATAGCTCTGGCACTGGACCGCCTGGCCCGAGGAGCCGCCGCCGCCGCCGCCGGAGGAGCCGCCGCAGAAACCGGAGCCGCCGCCGCCGCCGCCAGAGGAGAAGCAGCCGCTGCCGCCCCCGGAGGAGCCGCCGCTAGAGCCTCCTCCATAGCTCTGGCACTGGACCGCCTGGCCCGAGGAGCCGCCGCCGCCGCCGCCGGAAGAGCCGCCGCAGAAACCGGAGCCGCCGCCGCCGCCGGAAGAGCCGCCGCAGAAACCGGAACCGCCGCCGCCGCCGCCGCCACAGCTGGAGCCGCCGCCGCCGCCGGAGGAGAAGCAGCTGCTGCCGCCCCCGGAGGAGCCGCCGCCGCCGCCGCCAGAGTACTTGACGCCCCCACCGGAGCCCCCACCGGAGCCGCCGCCACAGCTGGAGCCGCCGCCGCCGCCGCCGCCGGAAGAGAAGCAGCTGCTGCCGCCCCCGGAGGAGCCGCCGCCGCCGCCGCCGTAATACTTGACGCCCCCACCGGAGCCCCCACCGGAGCCGCCGCCACAGCTGGAGCCGCCGCCGCCAGAGTAGCCGCCGCCACAGCTGGATCCGCCGCCGCCGGAGCTACCGCCGCCACCTCCTGAGTACTTGACGCTCCCTCCGGAGCCACCACCACCGCAGCCCCCGGAGCCGCCGCCACCGCCGCCGCTATGGAAGCCACAGCCGCCGCCGCCGCCACCACCACCGCCGCCGCCACAGCCACCGCCGCCGCTGCCGCCGCCGCCGCCGCCGGAGGTCTTTCCGAAGCCCACCGGGGGCTGGGGGGTGGGCTGCTTTCTCTGGTGAGACATCTTGTCTAAGGAGGAAGGGGAACCTGGAAGGAGACGAGAGCATCATTGAACCAGCGGCTAGAGGAGGCGGCCGCATCCATGGCAACAACCACCACCCTCCCAGCAACCTGCCTGGACCAGGCACCCTGCTCTGTTCAGGTGCCTGGTGAGCTGTCAGCTGGGACTTCTAGGATTGCTGCTTTTGGAAGAGTTTAGTTCCCTTCTCCCGGTCGCCCGCCCACCTCAGCAGAGAGTCTTCACCAAACTTTAAATAGCCCACATAGTGGTGCCCATTCTCCCTCTTCCAGCTCTGCTTCTGATCCCTGTTGTATGATTTGGGGGCAGATTACCCACACTCCTTGTTCATCATTTTCTATAAAATGAGAGGATTTGAACACTTCATCTCTCAGGTCTCTTCCAATGCCAACATTGATTCTCTGAGTGCAAATAGTGCACAAACCTCTACTTAGGATGGGGGATTTTACCCCATTCCCAGCACAACAGAAAGAGGGTTGTTGCTCTCCATTCTGTGAAGGGCTGTTGTATTTCATTCTCTGCAAAAGTCCTTAGTTCAAACTGTTGGTCTGACCCACTGAGATAGGGCATGATCCAACGGCTAGTTACTAGAAAAGACAAGCTGTGCCGTGGTCTTGTCTGGAAACAGGAGAAAGGATTCTGATGGTCCTTTGGACCAACATCTCTGACCAGAAGATATCAGCCATGGCTTTTATGATTTGCTTAAGTCCAAGCTTGGTAGAAGGGACTGTAACTAGTAGGAAGTTGTACCCCAGCATCTCATAAATCATCTACCTCTCAGAACTTCTGCCTCTGTAAAACAGGAATTGGGTTTCTGTGGCTGCTAAAATCTCTTCTATCTGTAACTTTCTCTGAATCATTCTCCCTGCTCTCTGAGGGCAGCCTCAGCCTCTCTTCCTGATAGGTTCATGAGGTCCACTCAGCCCATGCACAGGCTGCCTTGGACAGCCTCTGTAGAGTCCCCATCTGTGCCTAGCACCATGCCTGCTTTTATGAGGGAACCAGAGAGGCAGGAGACATCCTTTTCTTTTCTTTTTTCTTTTTGAGACAGGCTTTCATTCCATTACCCTGGGTAGAGTGCTGTGGCATCATCATAGCTCACTGCAACCTCAAATTCCTGGCTTGGGATCCTCCTGCCTCGGCCTCCAGAGTAGCAGGGACTACAGGCACGCGTCACTGGTCTGGCTCTTGCTCAGGCTGATCTCAACTCTTGAGCTCAAGAGATCTTCCTACCGTGGCCTCCCAGAGTGCTAGAATTACAGGCGTGAGCCACCATGCCTGGCTCAGGAGACAGTCTTATCTTTGTGGGGTTTAAATTCTATCCAGAAGATAAGAAACACCACCTGCATGGCAGCAGTACCCCTCCCCTTTCCTGATGTGAGCACAGTTGGGAAGGCAGAGGTCCTGTACCTCCTAAAGGGGAGAGAGGCTCTGGTTCACCTAACTTGTGCAAGCCTGGGAAAAACCAGCTGGGAGGATAGAGAGCCATCAGAACCCACACTTACCCGAAGCACCAGGAAGGGTGAGTGAGAAGATGCTGGCGATGTGAGGAGCACTGAAGTCCCGAAGTTATATACCATCTGAGAACCATGACTCATCTTATTGTGATTGAGGCCTGGTTTTTGTGTTTGGCATTAGTTACGTGACCCATAGCTGTCGGCCCCACCTCCCTGTGATTGCAGGCACAGGGTGGCCCATTCATGAAGATTTTGGCATTCTTGAGATAGGCAGCCTGGTGTGTGACTGGCCCCTTCTCTGATGCAACAGTGTGGTTGATCAGCGGGGGACGGCTAGACAGAGCAGATGGCAGACATTGTTTCCAAAGCCTCCGTCATGGCACACATGCCGGGCAACCAGAGGGGTGTGCTTGAGGGATAGGTCCCAGACTCTTGAAGTGACCTGAGAGAGTTAAACTGGAGATTTCAGTCTTTTGTCCCAGGATTAGGACCCTCTAAATCCCACTGTTTGGCTTCTGATCCCATTGCTCTGGAAATCCTCAGAACTTTAGAATCTGTTCCTCCTTTGCCAAAAGTCTCTAGGGTTTCACGTGTGTTTCACTGGGATGTTTCTATACAGCTCACTGGGCTGTAAGGGAGAATGAGGCCCCAGCGCCCAGTTCTGGACAGTACAGCATGGACAGTTCTGTAACTAATGTGACACTGGTGGATACTTTGATTTGCTCATGGAGACAGTAGGTGTCTGACAAAGTTTGAGAAAGATCATCAATACTGACTTTTCTTGCAGAGGAGCAGACTAAGGATATGGACCATGGCCCTTTGGCTCTGATGTCCTGTGGTGTTGTGTTGCAACGCTGACCTTGGCCTGAGGGGCAGCCATGGAATAGAACAGACTTGAGGTGATTGGGGTTGGATGCTCCCTTTACTACTTGCCAGCTGCGTCACCTTGGACAAAGTCATAGCACTTAATGCAGTGACTGCACGTGGGAGGCACTCAGTAAATATTTGTTGACTGTGGTATGATCAAGCTTTCCGACCCTCAGTTATGTTGTCTGTCAATAGGATTAGTAACACCTATTTCACAGGCATATGAAGAGGGAATAGTTACATAAGGTATAGAAGGTGATGCTGTCTTTTTTGTTATTTTTTCATATAACAGCACATCCTTACTTCAATTTGAGCTTCCCTTGGGCTTCTCTTTCCTAGGAAAGAATCTGTGGAGACAAGAATTGCTTGAATTGCTTGAAGCAATTCTCTTAGGAGAATAACTCAGAGTTTCCCTGTTGACCCTGGACCAGTAGCATCACCTCTGCTATGAAGAACAGCATGTTTCTCTTTCTTTCGTCACCGGAACTCAATTGCTATTGTTTAAAATACCACACTTGAACTTTGTTCTGCCCATCTATGTGTTGACATGACAGCTCCAATAATAAATTGACTGTTAATTATGGTGTACTTTTAATGATCCAAATGATCCTGATTATTATTAGTTCCTGATTCAGAAACTAGTGGCACTAGTTTCAATTTGGATAGCATGAACCCAAGTGAAGCCAGGAGGAACCTGGGTGCTCTCCTCCTTAGAGGATACTCAGGAGAGAGAAGCCAGGATCTGTTGGAGAAGGCAGGTTTATCAGCTGGAAGCTGAGGCACCATGGATACTTTGGAGGTAAATAGGCCCCAACTAGTGATTAATGTGAGTATAAAAAAGAACAGTTTTATTTAGTCACACCACACCAGAGAGGGGTGTAGCCTGACTAAATAAATGAGAGCACGCAGGGCAGTCCCAGCACTGCTGCTGTGGGTCCTCATTGGCCCATTGGCGTGTGCTCCCCAGTCCTTAGGAAAAGTGTAAATAAAAGGATGTCAGTAGGGCATTCTTGGGAAGGAAAGTCTGCAGTTCTGAAATCATGGCCTTCTTATATTTTTGTGTGTTAAAATATCATTTCTTTAAAAAGTGATGGTGACATGCGGCTATAGTTGTTTCTTTCACATCCTTACATGTCAAAATGGAAACTTGGCAATCATATAATGGTTGCCACATTTTTTGAGGAAGATGTTATTTCTCCATGGCATTCTAAAATTTGGGAAGTTTAAGCACAGTCAACTCCAAAGAACTAATAATCTTTAAATTGTCCTTGTTGGTTTTGAGGGTTCTTGTTCTTCTAAGAAAGATATAGTAATTTCTTTCTATCTATCAGATTTAAGATCCTAATTCTTTATTCATGAATCCAGCCAACACAAATGTGATGAGCACTATGCCAGGCATCAGAGAAGAGCAGAAGGCTTTCCGAAGTTGTGCATGGATCTTCTTGGTAGAGTTTGAGGTGAAGGTAGTGCCCCATGCTTGTCTCTGCCACTCTGTATAGCATTTAATAAGGAAAAACTTCTAAGTAGTACATCTACTTTATCAACATGTAGAGGAGGTTGATGTGACATGAGTTTGACAACAGTGCCAGATTCTGTGGTTCTCAAGCACTGAGTGAGCCTTGCTTGAGGTGTGAATATACAAGCCTGGCTTTCATTTAATCCCTCTGGACCAGAAGTAGTCCTAATGGGATATGTGTGTGACTTAACAACTGCTTATCACCTTTAATCCTATCAATGAGGAAATGATGGGAGTTTGTAGAATTATTACACATAGGTATTTGGGGTTTTGTAAGACTTGGCAGGTGAGATTTTTAAGATTTATAGTCTTGACACTTAACCCTGAAGTGTGAGCTTGCTAGCCTGTCTATCTTCTGCAACATGACAGACCAGGACATGGTTCCTGTCTATACTCGTACTCTTAGAGGAGATGACCCTTAAAGCAAATGTTTTACAGTGTCCAGGGTGCTGCTGGGCATCACGAGGTATTCAGTAAAGTCCGGTGGAATTGAAGGAACTCTTGAGACCTATTGAATGACAGCATATTGGCTGACAGTGGTTGAGAGATGATTAGGAGTGGAGGGTTTGGAACTATAGATATAGGCTTGGAACTATAGATTAAGCCTAGCCACTGTGTAGAGTGAGTAAACTCTGTACAGGGAATCCAGGGCCAGCCATAGAAGTGACATTTGGTTAGTGGAATCTCAGCCTGCTTCCCTCAACCAACCTCTCAATATCTCTGGTGGACAGGCCCCATAGAGGAGGTGTGTGCTTAGGCGTGTGCTTGTGTGTGCCTGTGTATGTGCATGTATGCGTGTGGGGGTGTGTGCATGTGTATGCATGTTCTGTACATACGTGTGTGAAAAGGTGGTGATACTTCAGAAAGATGCAGCAGTCCAGGGGACACCTTGGGGCTTATCCACAATCACAGGTAATCCTTTGGAAGAAAACCCAGCTTTTGATTGATAAACTACAGAAAAGTTAGAGACTCATTCTTCCTGCTTCTCAGCTTATCTCTGCGGGAAGCTCCCTAATTGCAGGCATCTTCTTCGGAGCAGGAGAGGAGGAAGTAGAGAAGGCAGTGTGTGGACATCTAGTGCTGCGATGCACAGCCTGGCCATCTTTGTAAGCTGTGTTGGAGGGCATTTAGGAAAGAGGGGCCAGGGAACCATCCTGAGAAGGCTGCTTCTCTGTGAGGAGCACATGGCTCCTGTCCTGCTGGGCCCCGGTCTGAGGAGAGATGACAGCTCTTGAGTTTGTGGAGCCCACTCTGACAGCAGCCTGTTTATCACAACTTTTAAGTATCCAAAGCTACACACATGCATTCTCGTGGTTTAATGCTGACTACTTATGTAACTGAAGTTAAAAGGGGAACAGGTGATGGTTCCTAAGGAATAAAATGGATGCGGGGCAGGACCTTGCAGGGCAGGAGCAGAGGAAGCCCTTTGCACTGTTGTATGGAAGGGGAACACTTTTCTTGTATAGTCCTGGCCCGGGAGCATCTCAGAGTCCCGGATCCTTCCCTGGCGCTGCCATGTTCCTCCTCTGCCTAGCCGTCTTGGGCCAGCAGTTTGAAGCGGTGGCTGTCCCTGGTGTTACATGGGGACAATTGTTTGCAGGGTTGGGAAAAGGACAGCTCTGGAGTGGCTCACAGCTGCTGATGTTCCTTCTCCAGGAAGCTTCCCTGGATTTCATCCCACTCCCTCACCACTTTCCCTTCCCCAGGGCTTACGGAGCGATCATACTAGTTAACAGCCTGCTAATGACACATCATTTGATTTGTCTCTTTTTTCAAGTTATAACTGCCTTTGTGAGCAGACTCCCCATTAGTTGTTAGCTATGCATCCTACCATTTAAAGAGAGCTTCTAGCCCCCCGGGGCTTTACTGGGAGGTGTTGACTCTTAAACCGGCCTTTTTTTGGGTGATCCTGGAGCTCACTGTTCTGCTGAGGGTGTGGCCCACAGATGAGCTGTCCAAACCTTCCTGAATAGCTCATAGAGGCACACAGGGTGAGCAGTGCACCCAGGGACAGTGCTTGCTTGGGCTTAGACACCGCCCGTGTGGACAGACTCTCTGGTTTATGGACTGCTGCCACTTACGTTCAATTGTGACAACAGTCCTGTGTGCTCAGTGATATGCTAACCCCAGTTCCAGATGAGGAAGTGGCTTATAGAGGCTAATGGATTGGCCCAAATTCCCACACTTTTTAATTGGCAAAGCCAAGATTCAGACCCAGTTCTTTTGAGTCTTAATTTTGTGTTCAAGCTTCACATGCCTCTCCTCTTTGGGTCAATAGGAACCTAAGGAAGGGACGATTCCCCAGCTGGGCTCAAGTTTGTGTCCTCTGGAGGCAGGGAGCAGAGGACACTTTCTTGAACGTCCAGCTCTTCAGGGACAATTGTATGCATTAGTAGATCACGAGAGCTGGAAGAACATGTAGAGGTCTTCCAATTAACCCTCTCCTTTGTAGAGGTCGATGAAGAACCCAAGGCTCAGAGAGGCTAAACCAGTTTCCAAGGCTACACAGCAAGGCCAAGACCAGAACCTGGGTTTCTGGAGGCCCAGCTCAGTACTCCTTCTACTATAGACTCTGGGTGTGGTTTCCTGCTTTCTTTTGACAAGAACACCTCTAGGTGCTGGCAGAGATAGGAGGGAATAGCTAAAATGACAGTAAATATGTTTAACAGGGGAGCCCAATGAGCTCCAGGAAGCTGGTGGGCTTGGATACTTTGGCCTCTGTGCCTGGAAGTAAATTGGTGATGTCACAAGGCACAGCTTTCACAGGTGGACAGCTGCTATGTAGCCTGAGGGCTCAGGGCCCACATACTGAGCTCCTATATAAACTTTATGAGCAGGGAGGAGCAGTGAGCAGCATTTGTGGGTCCCAGTCCTGCTCTGAGATAGGGAATGATACCTGGAGCCTCCTAGGACTTTCGTGAATGGTGATAGTTGGTATTCTACCAGTGTTGGCTCCCAGACCTGCCTGTCCACTGATGTCCCTCAGGTGAATTATCCCTGTTGTTTTAGTTGAGTCCCAAACCAAACAGAATTTGGAAATCAATATGGCAGAAAGAAAAAAGCACAAGCGTTTCAAACCCATAGCATTTTGAGCTCTTTGGCCTGGAAACTAGCCTGTGCTTTTTAGCCATGTGCTATCTTTGAAGGCCTGAGCCAGAGTACTTCTTCTTCATCAGGGACCACTGAAAAGCGAGGCAAGGCAAGTGCTCTTTCCATTTTGGTTTTAAATCCAATTTTGATTCTTAAGTGCTACTTTCAGGAATTCCCTGCAGCTGCAGTGGGCTTTGGGTGTGACTTTGCTCTTTACTACGGATTGTTAATAGGATTTATAACTGAAGACCACAATCTGAATCCAATATCCAATGTCTGTCTTTTTTCTATTTTTTATTTTTTTTGAGAGAGAGTCTCACTCTGTTACCTGAGCTAGAGTGCCGTGGCATCAGCTTAGCTCACAGCAACCTCAAACTCCTGGGCTCAAGCAATCCTCCTACCTCAGCCTTCCGGAGTAACTGGGACTACAGGCATGTGCCACCATGTCAGGCTAATTTTTCTATGTATTTTTAGTTGACCAATTAATTTCTTTCTATTTTTAGTAGAGACAGGGTATTGCTCTTGCTCAGGCTGGTTTCAAACTCCTGACCATGAGCGATCCACCCACCTTGGTCTCCTAGAGTGCTAGGAATACAGGCGTGAGCCACCATGCCCTGCCACAATGTCTGTCTTGACCAGTAAACCTTGTGCTTCAGTAAACCAGTAAACCAGACTTACTGGTTATTCTTAATTTTTACTCATTCTTTGAACTATACTTATTTCAGTAGCTGAACCTGTTGAAATCAGGTAGATGACTTGAGGCAAACATCTCTGCATAAAAAATTGAGAATGATCAGGATTTGGTTGGTGAGTCTCCAGTGACTTCTTTGGTTCCATCCAGGTGCTCAGAGAATCCTAGGATGGGGACTACGGAGCCATGATTCACATCTGGTGTGGGTTCCTAGGGCCTTCTCTCTGAGATAGGAGCATCATCCTGGCAATATTGGATCCCCCAAATCTTCCTATTCTCACCTAACTCAGGGCATGAATATTTGATAAATATTTGTTGATCAGTCAAGGAGATGATGAGAATTTAGTCTCACAGCACGGGGAAAATAGAATCTGGTTCAGTTTTCCATGGAAAGTAGCTTAAATACATTTGCCGTGGCAAACTACTCTTCCCTTCCATCCTCCACCTTTTATTTAAAGTGCCCAATTCCCCCATTGCCTCTTTTTCCTCATTTTTTCAGAATGTCCCTTGACTCATACCCTGGCCATGTATGGTCCAACAGTCATCTTTCTGGGTGGGGCCTGAAGCACAGCTGGGGTCTGGGAGGTTGGTTAGTGTCTGGTCTGTTCTGAAGGCTAGGGATTGAAATCTTTCCTCTGCTAAGGTCTGGGGGTCTTGAGGGACCAGTGTTCTAAACCTGCCTAACTATCAGTAACCTGCAGGCTTGGGCAATGTCCTGTCCCTCAGATCTAGAAAGTTAATCTAACTCACTCTTGACCCAGTTTCCTTTTGGCCCCCATTCCCTAGGGCCCCCCTCTGGACAGAGAGGAGGGAGAGATAGGGAGAGTCAGAGACAGGGACAGGGCAAGTGGAATGACAAGAATTACAGGCCTCTGAGGAAAGAGCAGGAAAACTTCATACCTTCCTTGGTGCCAGCCTCAGGTTCAAATTGGAGGAATTTTGGGAACTTTTCTCCCTGAAAGCATTCCCCCCTCTCCAGCTGAGTATAGGGGAGGAGGGAGAAGTGGAGCAGGAGGGCTGGGTGAGGACAACCATCCAGTGTTGTGAATAAGCTTTGCAGTGTCATTACCCAGGGTGGGTATAATTGCACGGGATTAGGAAAGGCATGTGGGCAGGCTGCGTTGCTTCAAATCCTCCTGCTATGTCATAGAGGAAGGCTTAATTTGTGTAATGTATGTTCATATGTCTACGTGTGTACACGTGCTCCTGGGCGGTGAATCCCCGGTGCCTGGTGGCACTACTCTCTAGTAAGTCATTCTACTGTAAAAATGCAAAAAAATTACTATAAATTTAAATAGCAAAGCAAAGAAAAATAGTCACCTATAGTTCCAGTATCTAAACACAACTGGTGAGTTGTATTATTTAAACTTTTGGTGAGTATTTTCATCTCACTCTTTCTTTTCCTTTTCAATTATCCTTTCTGTTTATATAAACTCTCAATTTTGGGTGCTGACTTTCCATGTGCCGCTGTTATGCACAGGCACCCATGGCATTCCGTGGTCCCTGTAACCACTGGTTTTAATGGCTACACCCTATTGCCCACTCCCATTCTTACCACTTAGACCTTCCCGCTGTCCTACATCCTCTGTACCATCGAGAACTCTTTATGGAATTTTTTGGGTTTGGTTGTCTCCCTGACTGCTGGCAGGGGCTTTATCTTCCTTTGTGTACACAGTGTTGGCCACATAGCAGGTGAGGAGGAAGGTTGGCTGGGAGTGGATGCCCCTCTTTTCCCCACCCTTTGCTTCCTGGCTCTCTTGACTTCCTTGTGTATAACCTTGTGCCTCAGTTCTCTGGACTCTGTCTTGCTGCACAGAATCATTGCCCTTTCCCCAAACGCTTTCCTCTCTTGTCTCCTTAAATGCCATCTCCTCATAGGCTCTGGGCCAGGATTCCCCTGGGCACGTGTGGTTTTGAGATGTGTGTGAGAGGGTGTGAGGAAGGGGAGGAGGGAAGCAGACAGGTTAGTGGGGGAATTTGGAAAAGAAGTCACTTAGAATGCTGGAGTGCAATGCTAGCTGAGCACCCGAGGGGCGAGAGGATGCAGAGAAAAGAAGCGATTGGAAGAACCCTCTTGGAAGAGGTAAGTTTCGAGTTGAGATAGAAAATGGTGAAATGTAGATAGGTTTTCCCAGACTTGGGCTTTGGCTCTCGCACTGTTGCCATATGTATGTACATATGTCTCTGTGTGTATGTGTGTGCACATGTCTATGTGTGTGATGTGTGTAAATGTTTATGTATGTATGTGTGATACATGTACACGTGTCTCTGTGTGCATGTGTGATGTGTGTAGATGTGTCTCTGTGTTTGATGTGTACATATAGCTATGTGTGTGCTACGTGTATATCTGTCTATGTGCATGTGTAATGTGTGTGTGATGTATGTACATGTGTCTATATCTGTGCCTATCTCCTCAGAACCTCTACCCTCCATCAACTTCAGTATCTCCCTCACCACCCACTCTTTCCCAAGAACCAGTTTCCTTTCTCCTGGGAAGGCAGACAGGATTGCCGGCTCCGCCCGGGCCCGGGAGTTGCTTTCCTGTTCTCACTTGTCAGCCAGCCCTTGATGTCCATGGCAACTGTAGTGTTACTGTGTGACAAAGTCGTTATATACAACTGACCCACATCATTCTGCACCATCTGTGTCTCTAGCAATGCAGTGAATGTGCCCTGATTTAAGTCATTCTTCTACTAAAAATCTTCAGTGTCTCCATACCAGGATCAAGCCCGGATCTTACCCACAAGGGCTTTTCGTGCTTCAGTTTCTGCTCACCTCTGCCTACTCCCCTGTAGAAGCATCGCCCTCCAAACTCAACAACCCCTCTCCCCCACTGAGCCAGGCTGTTTTTAATGCCACCATATTTGTTCCCTCGTTTTCCCCTCCATCTGTGAATGTCCCCCTTCCTTAATTTGTCTAATTTCTCCTTCAGTACTCTATCAGACGCCCTCCAGAAACCCTCCCCAGCATCCGCGTCTGCTGGAGAGAGCACTCTGCCTGGTGGCTCGGTAATCCTGCTTCCCCCTCAACCGAGGTCTCCTCGGAGGGGCGCTGCCGGGTCTTGCGCACGGCTTTGCATGTCCAGCACCCAGCACAAAGCCTGGCACGGTCCACAACGAATGCTGGTAGAATGAATGGACGAATGAATGAATGGACTAGTCCACCTCTGCCCACTTCTGGAATTGTTAGTGACTTGGGTGTTAGATATTTTGGCCTGTGTGGGAATGCCCTATTTTCACCTCCCCAGCAAGAGTACTTGCCCTTGGAGGGCAGGGATGGCATCGCAGCTCTTAGTAAACCTGGAGCCCATGGACACACCAGGCAATGAGTCAGTGTTTGTTGAAAGAAAAAAAAAAAGAATGAAGGAACGAATGGAAGGAGGGAGAGAGAAAAAGAAGGTTGGAAGGACATAAGAATTGTTTCAGGATTTCTAACAACGCTGGTTTGAGTCTGGTCAGAATCATAACTCTCTCTCCCTGGGCTCTCTGATCTAATTCTGGCAACTCCACAAAATTATAATGCTGGTTTGGCTCTAAAAGGGGGAGATAATAGAGATTATAGTGTATTAGGTTTAAAGTGGATGTCAGCACAGGTTTCTGAATTATTGGTAGTATTTTATTACCAACATGATTGTGATATTAATATCTCATTAAATTACTCATGGCATTTAATTGTTCTCCATGATTAATTAGGACATTTTACTCCATGTAATCCGGCTGGATCATATATAGATTGCAGAAGAGTTACATAAATTGCAGTGTTCTTTCTGCCAATAATCACAAACCCTCCTTATTTTAATAGCTATGCATTGCTTTTTATGTGTATAGAGCAAGCATTTCAGATTTATGATTTTATGGATATCAGTGCAGAGGATGAGGTAAAAGAAGGTAATAATGTGGTAATATAGCTTCTAAAGTGATTTTGGATCAGTAACAACAGCGAGCTGATCTAGAAAAAGTGCTAAGTAAATAATCACACAGGTGGTACATAGATAGGAAAAACTACACACTGTATTAAAGTTTCCCTTTGGGGAGTCCAAATGTCCTCCTGGGAAATGCAGGCTTGTGGTGTGGGAGTCCTACTCCATGGTCAGCTAAGGGCAGGGGGAGAGTTCAGAAGCATGAGAGCAGGCCCATGTCTCCCCCTGCCCAAACAGGCCATTGGAACTGTGGGCTTCTCTAGACCTTGAAGGCAGCCAGAGGCACGCTGGGAAGTAGGCAGGGAGTCCCTGAAGCCCCTTGTACTACCTGTGGTGCCCGAGCCTCTGCCACTCTGCCTGTAGTTCATTATCAAAATAGTCCCTGGGTCATAGTGAGACTTTGGGGACAGAGTTGGGGACAGAGTTGGTGACAGGAGACCTGAGGTATAGAATCTTGGCTATATCATTTGCCAGCTGTGAGACCACCTGTGTGTCACTTAACCTTTCTGAACTTGTGAAATGGCTTTGAATTGCCTATGTTTTGAGGATGTTGTGAGGATTGAACAAGATCTATTAATATTATATGGAAAGCTATCGGAAAAGAGTTGGTATTTGATTGAATGCTTGTCGAACCCAAGGAAAGATGGTACAATTTAGAGTGTGGGCCTATGGTAGTCATTCAATGGGCCCATTCAGGGGGTGCACAGTTTAAAAAGGTCAGAATTATAGTTGAAGGAAGAAGCTCAATAATAAAATGTCAGGAGTCAAAGGGGGGTGGGAAGGGGGAGTGACCAGAGGACATGTTTCAGGGTGGGGTTCCCCTGGTGAATTTGCCTTCTCTGGGGCTGATGTTGGATTGGGGGTCCAGCTAGCCTTGCCCCTCATGTCTCTCTCCCAAGTTTTTCCCTGAGTCACTCACTCGGTACTTAATATTATTGTTACCATAAATAACAGCTGCCATTTGTTGAGCACATATTATGTGCTAAGCACTGTGTTAAGTGTGTTCCACGTGTTAATGTCATGTAAACCTCACCACAGTCTGTGGTGCTATTATCCACATTTTACAGATGACAAAAGTGAGGTGTAAGGAGCACAAAGAACTTGCCAAGGTTGCATGCTAAAAAGTAACTGAGCTGTGACTATAGTCAGAAATGTCTGACTCCCAAGCGCATGCTTTTTCTTAATGACTCTGCTGTCTGTGTGATACAATTCTGTGTCAGCGTTAGCATCAAATATTTTCTGAGAGCTGTCTAGTTGTCACACACTGCTCTAGACCCAAAAAAAACAAAAACAAAAACAAAAACAAAAAAACACAAAAAACAAAAAACTACACACACAAAAAAACCAAAAAACAAAACAAACAAACAAACAAACAAACAACCCAACCTCCCCTCCCCACCAAAAAATCCCCTCCTGCCCTTGCAGAACATGTGTTCTAGCTCAATGGGACAAGGACTGGTTTTTACGCAATGTTCAGCAGCTCATTGTGTACTATGGGGCTCAGTTTCCTCATCAACATGGTGAGTGGCCTGGGCTTGGTGATTTCCACGTCCCTTCTAACTTTTCTAAGACTGCAGACTTCACAGGGGAAGGACTAGGTGCTTCTAATCTCTCACAGTTCCTTGCACAAATAGTCTGATTTGCCCCATGTCTGGTGGATGCTCTCCCATTTAGGCCACTGGCATTGGGTTGAGGGAGCATGTGGAGAGTTCAGCCCAAGAAGATTTGGGGTCAGAAGGTTACTATGTTGGGTTTGGTGCTTTAGTCCTGGAGTTCTTCCAGGCTGAGATCTCTGAGGAACTCAGAAAATTAAAGAACTGAAGGAGTTGGAATTCAAGCTGATTTATTAAGCTTCCCTGGTAGAATGGGGGAGGGGGGTGACTATTGTGGCTTCCCTCAGCAGGGGAACTTAGGCTTTGGGACTCCAGCTCAGGTTTGCTTTGGTTTGGATGGAAAGGAGGTTCTCAGCCAAACAGATATTATCTCTTCTAAGAAGCCTCTTCCGGCAGTAGGTTATGTGCTCCTTTTCTGTGCCCCTATGATATTCTGAACTTACCTTTAAAAAAGTACAAATGAAGCCACTTTTCATATTGCGTTTACATTTTGATTACATGTCTGTCTCCCTTGCTGGACTAAGAACTCCTTGAGGAGAGGACTGAAAGTTGTTGATCAATGAACTTCCAATACTTAGCCCAGTGTCTGACATACAGTGGTGCTTTTTAATCATGGGTTAAACAAAACCAAGGGGGAACATCCTAATCAAGGTGATTGTACCCAATAGGGAGCAGGCAACTAGGCTTTGGAGATAAGAAGAGAAAGAAAAAGAGGGAAGAGTGTGATGTTAGGAGATGCTTGGCATTTGTGGCCCTAGGAGGATGTCATTTTATTGGAAGTTGAGCTTGCCCTGGTGAGTAGGTCATCTGGCCCAGCCTGGAGTCTTTGATGGCACCACCACCATCACCATCACCATCATTGTCAGTAAAGAGTTGGCTATAGACAGGACATATGGATGCCAGGCTTAACCACCAGACTTGCTCAGCATGGTGTCATATCTGGGAGACCCAGTAAAATCCAGAGGAAGGCATCAGAAAGGGCAAAAGAAGGGTGTCGTTAATTGCTGCTGCCACTGTGCCTAATCCTCCAGTGAATCAAATATGAGACAATGGAGGCACTTCAGCCAAACCCTTGGCTGATCAAGATGGAATTAGCCTGGTTCAAGTCCAAATTGCTTGTTGTCTTTGCTGGAATGAGTTTTAGAAATGCCGCTGAGTTCCAGAGATGCCATGGCTGTTGTGATTACTATGTTTGGACAGGTTGTTGTAGGCACAGCAATTTGTTTTTCTTTAAAATAGATTGTTTTCTGATGCCTGAGCCTAATTGCTCACCCTGCTAGCTGTGGCAGAACAGGCCGAGTGTCGCTCAGTGGGGCTCAGTGTCTCTGGGAATGTTGGGCAGGTGTGGCTGGTGGGGCCTGCCACCACCACTGGAATGTGGCCTCATACTCCCACTTGGTGACCTCTCCACATGACGAGTGGCAATTAGTAGGGCCAGGCTCTGACAGGGCTGGTCACAGCTTACCTAGGGTGGGCTAAGAGAGACTCTAGGAGTCTGCCTTGGTGCACTTGTCTTACTGTCTGTCTTCCCATTTTTCTTTCTCTCAAGTGCACACAGGAAATTGCCATCATGGACAAACCCAAAATGGAGCAGACGTGGAAGGCTGAGACCAGAACAAACAGCTGGGAAGGAGCAGGTGAAGTCCTAAAGGCCTCCCAGCCTGGGTAGTATCACTGTATTTACTGTCTTCATTCTAGTCCACTTCCCACATACCTTCCTTCTGCTCATGCTGCCGAATGGCAGCCGCAAAAATGTGAGAAGGGCTTTGGTATCAGTAGTCAGGTCATTAGTCCTAGGTCTAGAGTTATTCTTTTTTTTGAACCTACTTGAATTCAACCCCTCTATTTTCATCATTACCAAAACCATTATCACCATGTCTATTTTGCTATTACTTTTAATACTATACCAAAGGCCAAACACTCTATTGCTATTATGTGCCACAGCAGCAGCATCATTGCCACCACTACTACTGCCATCTCTGTTCATTCTCACCATCATCACCTCCACCTCTACCACCTTTACTACCATCACCTCCACCACCTCTACCAACATCACCTCCACCATCACCTCTACCACCTCCACCATTATTTCCACCACCTCCACCACTTCTACCACCATCACCTCTGCCACCTCCACCACCTCTACCACCATCACCTCCACCATCACTATGCTACCTCCACCACCTCTACCACCATCACCTCTGCCACCTCCACCACCTCTACCACCATCACCTCCACCATCACCTCCGCCACCTCCACCACCTCTACCACCATCACCTCTGCCACCTCCACCACCTCTACCACCATCACCTCCACCACCTCTACCACCATCACCTCTGTCACCTCCACCACCTCTACCACCATCAACTCCGCCATCATCTCCACCACCTCTACCACCATCATCTCCACCATTACCTCCACCACAACCACCAACTCTACCATACTTCTACCTCGATTCATTCTCATCACCATCACTGCCACCACCACCGTCATCACCATTTGCACTCATTCTTACCACCACCACCACAACTAGCATGGAGAAGAGAAGACTTTGGGATAGACAGCCATCTTCACACGATTAGGGAGCTTCAGAAGAATAGTTGAAGTTACTTTTTATGAGTAAAGAAGTTAGAATTAGAAAATGAATAGAAATTATAAGGGATCATAATTACATTTGGGTAAATGTAAACAATATCTTTCATGGAACTAGGAGAGACCAGAGGAATAAGAAGTTTGAGGATAAAAGATGCTGAGTTTTACTTGGAGCAAGTTGAATTTATCTCCCTGAGGTGACAACCAGGTGGGGTGGTCTTCCAGCTCAGCCCCTCGCTGATCCTTAAGTCCCCTCCATGGAGTCCCTGAAGAGTAGAGATCTAAGCCAATCCTTTCATACTGCAGACCTCATTTAATCCTGAAATAGCTGGTTCTTTCTATTTTTATAAGTTTCTGATCATTCTATAACATTGGAACACATTCTCTTTTAAATTTTTAAGATGTTTTAGGTCAGGGTGAAATTCTTCCTGGTCACTATTGCCAATATTTTTTTCTTTAGCTCCCTCATACAGATAATCCATGTTGTCATATGGTGTGATATTTTTGTTGTAGGTCATTTTCTTTTGCCTTTATTTAGGAGCAACATGGTATTGTATCGTGTGCATATTTTACTCAAAGTAAAGTCATAAGTCACCACTCATAAAGTACATTACTGTTCCTTAGAAATTTGTAGGTTGAATCTGCCAGTTTATTCAGCCATTCCTAAATTAATGGACACATAGGTTGCTCTGATTTTCACTATTGCAATTGAGTCTTCAAGCATATTTTTATATGCACCTCCTTTTACACATGAAGGATAGTTTCTTAAGGTAGATAGGAAGTAAAATTGCTGCACTCTGTCTCTTTAAAGGCTTTATTCAAAAAATACAATTATAACACATAAATTCTGTCTCTTGTTTCCTCCACCTATTGGTCCTACCTCCTTTGGCAGCCTGAGCCACACAACAAACTCTGAGGGAGAATATCTCAGTGGTTAGGACTAATGACCTCAGGTTCAAGTTGACTTCGGTGGAGGGGTCACAGTTTTAGGGGGCTTATTATGTGCGGGGCCTTCTTCTAAGCATTTACCATATATAAATATATAACTCACTTAATCGCTATGATGTCGGTAACATGATTAACCCTATTTTACTCATGAGGAATGCAGGCAAAAAGTAGCAAAGTAATTGCTCAAGGTCATACAACTATGAGTGACAGCTCCTTTCACAGTTGTGGATGTTAAGTCAGTCTGTGTAAAACTCTAAGTATTCTGCTCAGCACATAGAAAACATTCGGCAAATGTTAGTATTATTACAGGGCTGATTGGTGATTATTAGGGCTATAGAATTACTATTATCGCCATTAGTTTTGCTCCTCTCAAACTGCAATAGACCTCATCTCTGGGGAATTCATCTCATGGCAGTGAGACTGGTTTCAAGCCCTTGTTCACCAATTTGCTTTATTTGCTCTATGGCCACAGAACACATTCTTAAACTTTAGGGGAGACCTGGGATAAAGTTGCCATAACGAGCACCTCTGGTGATTGCCCACACTTAAGATAAATGCAAATATAGTTAAATGCAAGTGTAGATACACATAAACACTCACTTGCGATGGAGCAGAAACTGGTGGGTGAGGGGTTAAGTTTTGCTGGATGCCCAGGGAAGAGACTGGGGTGGGGGGAAACCTTGGACCTGAGGAAGGGAGTTTCAGCTGGTGTGAGGTGGTGGAGTGCAGGAGGCAGACTGGAAAGGAGTTTCCTTCTGGTCCAGTAACTTGTGCTGGGGCAGGAAAGACAAGGCACTTATTCATTCGCTGAGCTGGAGATACAAAGATAAACAAGATACAGCCCCTGCCCTCAGTGAGCTCACTCTGTGGCTGGAGGGCAGAATGCGAATGAACGACTGCAAGGCAGGGGGACACACAGGGGAGCACACAGTGCGGTGGGGGCACCAGAAGGGTCTTCCTAGGGGAGAGGGTGCTCAGGCTGTCAGAATATGCAGAGGAATGGAGCCACGTTAAGGAGCTTTGACTTTTATCCTAAAAGATGTGGGCAGCTACCAAAGGATTTTTAGATGGCAAAGAAGCATGATTATATCTTGATTTTACAGGGTAAGTTGTTTCGTCAAATACCGGAGTCTTGAGGAGAAGCCGTGCTGCCTGAGGTCAGAGCAGATGTGTTGGCAAAAGACACAGGGAGGCTCGATCAGAACCAGGCGGGTCTTGGGAAATGTTAGAAGCTTGACTGGCTACATACATTGAGCTATCTGACAATGTCATGTGGAACAAACAGATAAATCATTGACTGCTTTTGTCCTGACTGGTAGTCACAAAGTTATCTCATTTAATTCTTAAAATAACTTGTGAATTTGGCATTGTTGTTACTCCCACCCTACAGCTGAGTAAATGAAAGCTCAGAGGAGCTGAGGAAGTGGCCATAAACCACACGGTGTGTAGGTGCTAGAATGTCCCTGTGGGCTCCAGCATGGTCCAGGGCCCTTTTGCCTCATAGCAGCACCTTCAGAAGGCAGGAAGAGTGGGGTGCAGTGTTCATTACGCTGTCATGAGAATCTCTTGGTGAAGCTGCAGAGACTGAGAACCTATTCTGGGGTCAAGTGGCCCCTGTGACCTGCGTGGTACCTGAGGTGATGATCAGATGTCCTGCTGGGGAGAAGGGATGTGGGGCCAGGCTGCTTTCCTTTCCCCCAGGTGGAGGAGGGAGGTGAGACCTGCTGGGTTAGCAGGGGCACATGGACTTCTGGCTTTCATCACAAGGGAAAGGCTAAATCAGCACAAATCCATCACCGCTTCTGGAAAACCTGCTCCCAGGACATACCTGACTCTGCCTGTAAAGCTCAGCAGGGCAGTTGGGCAACCTGGCCCCCAGGTGCTGCCTTTCTTCCTTATAGTTTCGGTGATAAGAAAAAAGGGATTTCTTAATTGCTCCTGGTAAGAATAAAAGGGTGGAGGGGGCTGTGGTGAAATGGGGGCAACCGCACCCCACCCTGCAAAGCTTCCTGCCACATCAGGACCTTGGGTCTTGAGAACTCTCTGGCAGCCATGGCCTCTAAGTTCAGGAAGGCGGGATGTTCTTTAGGTTCCTGAGCTCTGTGCTTTGGTTCCTTGGTTCTTCAGATACTTTCGTTTACCCCTTACAACGTGTCAGCCACTTGCCAAGAGTTTTGCATCCAGGGCTTGATTTTATCTCCACAACAACCTTGAGAAGTAGGTACCAATATCTCCATTTCACCGATAAAAATCTGTGATGCCTATTGCCACTAGTGTCCATTTGGTGCCATGTCTGTTGCCACTCAATGCACACAGACAGGCAGTGTTCTGGATGCTGGGGAGACAGCAGAGGACATGGCCATGCCCTGTTACAGCAGCAATGAACATCTTAAATGAGATAATAAGCACGAATGTGTTTGATAGCCTGTAAAGTGCTGCATGCCCCTAGGGACTAACATTCGGCAGGAGTAAAGGCTGGGCACACTGCAAAAGCTTGGTAACACTGCCCCATGTGGACCAGAAAGCTTTGGCACCTGTAGCTTGTGACTGCCCCACCACAATGCTTAAGCTGGGTGGCTGGGGGTTGTAGCCTTCAGGTGCTAGGGGTCAGACAGGGCACAACTCTGATGCCCAGTTTTCACCCCCCACCACCCACATATTCCAGTTGCCTCCACAGGGTCTTGGCAGGGCTGGCAGGATGCCTACCTGAGAAAGGTCAGGTCCCTGGCAGCTCCTTGTCATGGGTGGGGCAGGGAGGTGCCCCTATCCTCCTGATCCTGAATCCTCGTTTGCATGTACTTGTGCTCAAAGGTCTGAGAAGCACAACCACAGGGAGAGAGTTGGAGGGCATTTATTCATTAATTTGTATTTGTGATGAACTGTCATCTCCTGTTCCCTCGAGTGCCTCAGTTTAGAATCTTTTGTTATATTATATTATATTTATTTATTTATTAATATGCTTTTCTTAAGTCCATAGCAAAGGGTACATATATTACGAGGTTTATGAGATAGAAATAGAAAATCAGAAGTAAGGAAAGGAAGACAGGTCAGATATGGGAATCAAAAAGACAAGGTTTTTGCAGATTTTAATTTGCCTGATTTAGCCATTCCGCAATGTACACACATGTCAAAATACCATGTTATATACTATAAATATATAGAATTTTTATTTTTCAATTAAAAAAAATAAGATGAAATTCAATGCAGAACCCCCCCACCCCCAAAGGACAAGATTTTTCTTTCTTTAGTTTTTGCTTTCTTTCAACACTGAACAAAGTATGTAACTTTTTTTTTTTTTATTTTTTTTTTATTTATTTTTTTTTTTTTCACAGTTCATTCAGCATCAGAAAGTATGTAACTTTTGATTATAAAGCAATGCATGCTTACTTAGAACATTTGTAAAATATAGAAAATGTCAATAATGAAATTAAAATAAAATCTGTAGGCCTAGATTAGATTGGGATTATTTTAGAGTATATAATTCCATATTTCCTATTTTAGAGCCTACCTTTTTTACTTAATGATAATATGTCATTTTTCTACAGCATATCTTAATGACTGAACAATATTTCATTTTATGGATATAATTCAATTTATTTAATCAATTCTCTACGGCTGATAATTTACATTGTTTTCTTTTCCTCTGCTTTTATAAGATTGTGGCAATGAGCATCCTAGTGCATCTAAGTTTTTAAACATCACCAATTGTTTTCTTATGGTAAACTCCTAGAAGCAGGATGCTGGGTTATAGTACACTTATCACTTTTTATGTTCGTGTAAGACAAGACACAGTCTCTGGAGCCAGACCACTTAGGATTGGATCCCAACTCTGCCACCTGCCAGCTGAAGGGTCTTGGAGGATTTCTCAGGATCCTGGTTTCCCCATTGGTGAATATGGATAATAAGAGTACCTCCCTTATTGAGTTGCTATGAGATACATGTAATTTAATACGTGATAAATACTTAAATCATGGCCTGGCCCGCAGTAAGCTCAAAACTCTAGGCTATTGTCATCATTATTATTTTTGTTATTGCTACCACTTGTCCTCCTGAAATAGTGTCCCAATTAAAACTCCCACAAGCATTGTATGAACGTGCTGCTTTCTACACGCCTTTGTCAACACTGGGTATTACCATTCCATTTATTATTCCATTGTTTGTCAACCTGATAGGCAAAATTGTTTCCTTAAGTTTACTTCTTTGATTACTAGTGATTAACTTTATTTTTTTTTAAGTCTTTATTCTTTATTTTTTATCTAGATTCTTATTTATTCATTTGTGTATTTCCTGTTCATGATTTTTTTCTTGTTTCTGGTAAATTGTTCAACTTTTTCTTGTGGATTTCTTCTTTAATATATTAAGGCTATTAACCTCTTTCTGGCCACGTATGCTGTAATTGTGTTCTTCCTCTACCCCAGTTTTTCTTGTGCTATGTAATTCTTTTTCTATTTGTGGACACAGAAATTGCACTTTTCTTTTTTGCTCTTGTCTGTGCTTATACACTTAGAAGGCCACCATGAGATCATGTCATGTATATTTTTTCAACTTTTAATTTTTATTAAATTTTTACTTTTAACCTTTGAATTCAAAAGAAATTAATTTCGAATTTTCACAGTTTGTTCCCCGCCTTTTGTTTAATTATTAATCAATTGATTATTAATTACTAGATTATATATTCTTGGTTTGTTTCTTGGCTATCTCTTCTCTTTATCTGTTTTTTCTTATGCTTGTCTTTTCAGTTTTTTGTAGCTTTATAAAATACCTTGATATCTGTTGATACAACTGCACTTTCACTAATGTCTTTAGAAGTATTTTCTTGGCTTAGTATTTTATCATCTAATTATTTCCATAAATAAACTTGAGAATAATTTTGTCGCTTCCAAGAATACTGATTTTGAGTAGAATTACATTCATTTTATAAATTAATTTAGGGAGACTTGATATTTTTACTACCTTTGTACTTTTTTATATGGAAAAATACAATTTCTTCCTCATTTAAAGTAAACTTTTTATTTTAGAATAATTTTAGATTTACACAAAAGTTGCAAAGATAGTACAGTGTTCCCATGTGCCCTGTACCTAGTTTTTTCCCTTTTGTTAATGTCCTACATTAATGTAGTACATTTGTCAAAACCAGTGAATCAATATCGATATACAGTTGACCCTTGATCAACACCAGTTTGAATGCATGGGTCCATTTCTACGTGGATATTTTTTGATAAATATATTGGAAAAAATTTTGGGGTTTGTGACAATTTGAAAAAAAATCACATTCAAATTATGTAACCTAGAAATATTGAAAAAATTTAAAAAGTAGTTATGTCATGATTGCATAAAATATATGTAGATAATATTCTGTTTATGTGTTAATCAACTGTTTACATTATTGGTAAGGCTTCTGGTCAACAGTAGGCTATTAGTAGTTAAGTTTTGGGGGAGTTAGAAGTTATGCATGGATTTTCAACTGCACCTGGGGGTGGGGGTGCCCCTAACTCCCATGTTGTTCAAAGGTCAACTGTATGCTATTAATTAATGTCCATAATTTATTTGAATTTCACTAGTTTTCTCCTAATGTCCTTCTTTGGTCCCAGCATCCCATCCAGGGTATCATAGTCCCCGTCATGTCTTCTTTGGCTCCTCCAGGCTGTGACGATTTCTGACTTTCCTTGTTTTCAATATCTTTGACCATTTCGAGGTGTTCTGGTCAGGTATTTTAGAATGTTCCTCAACTTAAGTTTGTCTTATATTTTTTTCATGGTTAGATCAGACATTGTATTTTTTAGGTGATGTTAGCTAGGGAAAAAAAGGAAATCAGAATAAGTAACAGAATTTTTGGTCTTCCTCAGGGAACACATTTTTTTTTTTCTCTAAGAAATATCGATCAATAAGATCTTACAAAAAAGTGTTGAGTGACATGGGATGCCACGACTCCATCAGGAGTGTGGCAACATATATGTTAATAAATATAGTTTTTCATGGCCACTTTTCATTGGGACCTGAATGTAATTCCAGGTCAAGACATGAAGTTTCAGTCCAAGAAAGGCCATTTTCTGAGGTTAATGCACTTGACTATTTAGTCTTACAGTTGTCTAGCTTGTCCCACAGGTAGAACTTAGAGAAGAATGGTAGACAGTGACTTCCTTAGACTATCTTTTCCCAGTGTTTAGGCATAAAGGCTTAGAATCAAACTGCCTGGGTTCAGA